GGCAAAACACGAAGCCCGCATAGCGGCAGGAAGAGAAGGCAGCCGCTCTTCACCCACCAGGTTTTCTGCTCGTGGAGGATGGTTGCTCAGACTACCTGTGCTCAGAAAGCAAGCACACAAGCAGACAATTCTGAGGACGAGACCTGCTTTCGTGCAAGCCCCCAGATACAGTCAGGGCCTTGTAGCCACAGCTGCAGATCCAGCAAAGGGGTTGGGGTGGTGGTGGGGGAGTGTTGCCACGTAAAACTTGAAAATAATAATAAAAGTGTCGCGCATTAATTACGGCTGAACAAGTTCAAAATTCAAACCTTGGTTTGGTTTTCAAAACAGAACTTTTGTGTTTGCCATTTCTGTTTATAATTCAGCTTGCACATCTACTTTTGAAATGCCAATACTACGCACGTGTAAACATCACATAATGGAAAGTGATGATTTTTCAGTATCAGTACACTAAATTTTTTAAATAAAAGTGGTGCACAAAATATTAGCACCCTTCTATTTTTACAAAACATCTTATAAAGTATTAATGTAAAATATATTTTTGACAAAAAAAAGTTTATTTGGAAAGCTTAAGGTCATTCTAGTTCATTAGTAACTTACAAATATAAATAAAAATCCAACCCATTTCTAGTGCTGAGAGGTACATATGAGACCAGAACAACTATAAGAAGTTTTAAGTACGTTTTATTAACAATGCATCCCTTTGATAAGATTATGCTTCAGGAGGCTTTTAATGCCCATAGACATGAACTGTATACACTATACACACACACAAAAAAAATCAAGGTGGGCAATACCATTTTGGGACAAGCCTCTGTTTAAATTATACACAGCTCAATGCAATATTCTTACGGAAAATATATAAATACTTTTTCTTTCTATGTTACAGGTATACAATATAAATCAGATTTCAATGTTCGTTCAGTGACCTACAAACACTAGAACCTCCAAATACGTAGCAGCGTATTACTAAATAAAAAGAAGACCACGTGGGACAGGGGGGAATAAGTCTTGGTTTTCCTCAATCCCTTCCCTCCTCAGAATAATTTACATAATCTCTTGTAATGCAGTATTAGGGATTCTGACAGCCAATGTTGGAACAACTTTTCAATTATACCTACCAAATGTCTGCCTTTCTCCCCTAAGACATTGCATCTTGTGTTAAAACCACTTATTCAGTGGCAAAATGGCATGTTACACTTTTTGGCATAAATTACATTTCTCAAATAGTGTATTTTACAAAGCAATTCAAACAAAATGTGCAATTTCTGCATGCTGTGGCATTGCTATTCATCTATTTTATAAAAATAGTCCAAAGAAAAATCCACATTCTTTACTGAACATACGAGTCTGTTGCAAACAAAAATATCCAGGGAACCTGAATTAGGAGTTAAACAAACAAAACAAAAACACCCAAAGAGCTGAGGGCTTCTAGTAAGATATAAACATGGTTTCTAGCATGTTCCCAAAGGTCTTATATAGTCTTCAGATTTTCATCTCACCTAGTATGCCTTTAATAAACACATGGTAATAAAGCTGAACAAAATAATAATAATAATAGGGGACCTATTTTCAACTGCCTTGCAGAGAAGCGCCAGCAATGGGGCTCCCTGCACAGCCCTGCCAGGAGATGAACGGGAGCCTGAGCTGCTCCAGAACCTGGCAGAAATTCTTCCTTTAAGATGCCTCATCATGAGCTGACACTCACTTCCCAAGAGAACAGGAGCTTCCTGAAGTCCAAAGGCCAAATACCATGATCAAAACACTGACTATGATGAAGCACCAGCTGTTTCGTCTCTCACCAGGCTTTAACTACTACCTCCCTCCTGAAATATTTCTAGATTAGTCCACTCTCCTTTATGCACCCATGGGTGCTAGAGTTTTCTTAAGCTTCTCACTGCGTATTACAATCCTCCCATTCAGCACCACTGCACATGCTCCAGAGCAGAAGGAATTCAGAAGATGAAGGGTACTGGCACTGATGCCTGGCAGGTACTTTAAAATGTTTGTAGAAGGTCGCTCACCTCAGTGTGCCAAGCCACCGTGCACTAAGCTACTGAAAACTACGCTGTTTTGGGGGAAAAAAAAGGAAAATCAGCAATGGTATCTGTAGGTAGGTATTTCCAGACAAATAAGAAGAGTCAGATAGGAGAGTGACTCTCTATTTCATGTATAACACACCAAGGGGCTAACGCACACAGGCCTATTGTGCTTCTCCAGCTGCAAGTGATGTCAATGAGAGTTTGCTGCATCCGACATCACTGAAATTCTGATGCCTGAAAAGGTTCATCTCTCTCAAAAAGGGCATTCAAACCATCCAGCTCTGTCCTCTTCTATCCTCGGTGGAAAGAAACAGGCTCACCAGGAAATAATCCAGCGTCCAGCATTTAGATTTCTGTCCAAAGCTGCCTTTGGTGGAGGCAATCCCTTTCCACTGACTATAAAAAAGGGGATCAAGGAAATTAGCCAGGTAATTTAGTAGATTATGTCCCACTGGTTTCATAACCAGCATCTCTTTCCCCACAAAGGGTTTAACCTCCAACTTGTCTGAATATTTTCTGTGCTGGCAGGTTTAATCATTCAGTCTTCTTTGCCACAGCAAACAAACTATACTTGCATATGGTAGAACTGAGCGCCTTATGCTTTACATCATTTATTCAATAGTATCATAAATTGTTAGGACTGGAAAAATGGAAAATTAATGGTCTACAAGCTTGCTACTCTTTCCAGGAAAAGTGGGAGGATTTTCTATTAATATATGCACACTTTTTATAACTGTTTTCTTCTAAAGTTTCATCATGAAGTAAAATAAAACCCTCGAATAACTTTGAAAGGGATATTTTAAAAAAAGAAATCGATAAAACTAGAAACTCACAGTTTATAACTAGGACAATATCAAATTCCTTCCTTTACAATATCCCTTCATTTGTCAATTAAAGCAAAATATTAATGAGCTTAATGTAAATTAATTCTAGAAATGTTGTATGTTATGTACAGCATGAACTTTATGTCCATTATGCATATTTGTTGAAAACTACTGACGTTCATAGAAATCACTTTTAGAAAGAAAATCATGCTTTACAACTGAATTTGCAGCAATTATTTGTCAAGTTTTGTTGTCATGGATCCCCACAGAACTGAGTATTTCAGAATGTATATGCATTTCAGGATGGAGAAACCTTTTAAAGTACACTGACATCTCCTTTGCTTACCTTTCTAATAATCATAGGCCTTCCTTCCTATTGCCTTTTCTACATTAAGTGCTATGGATTAACTGTTAACAATTAACATGGGTGCTGTTATTATTTTATTTATTTTTAATACTAATGATAATACTTGCTTATTTTGCTTTAACTGCAGAAAAATAACATGGAGTTGTTTGATGTAGCCCCATCTAGTTATTAAAACAAATCTCATACTCTATCCTAACTGAGGTAGTGTTTGAAACTACTGTATAAGATCTGGCCAGTCCCATCTTGGGAACGCTACATTATTTCCTTTGGAGTTTACACCACTATTTGGTCTACTGTGATTGACATTTTGGTTTTACAGAAGCATTTACTTCTTATGGCCAGAAGTCCAATAGTCACTGGTAGGTGTGTTTTCAAAGCATTTCAAACACATTTCAACACATAAATGTATTACTTGTGTCACTGGCCATAGAAGAGTTGAATTGGTTTCTCTTTGCTCTTTCTTTCAGTGGGAACTCATGAAAAGATGACCTAGGAAACTAGACTGTCAGCAGCAACTTACAGATCTGCTTTACCAGAACCCAGCAGTATGCAGTGCACGTGAGAACTCAGTGAAGTGATCTCTGCTAAGCAGTGCTTATGTGGCAAGATGAAATCTTCACTAAGAGCAAATAAATCCTACATTTCAGTACAAATCACGCTATGTTTTTACTGGTTCACAGGCCTACTTATTGAAGTCTCCAGTAGCATAGCTAGTAAAATCAGGGTTATGAGTATTAGGATCAATTTCACTTAGCTTTATCTAAGTATTAATCTGACAATTATAAAAAAATGGTAAGAGTGAATGGATAATAATATATTCTACCTATTACAGTACAGTCCAGCTGAATTATTCACCTATATCAAAATCAAAAGGTAAACCTTTCTATTGCAGGCATTCTAACAAAGGTGGCCATGCTACTTATATATATATTTGCATATATTTATACTACCTTTTTATAAAGGCTTCTGAATCTTTAGATGCATGACAAGTGGTGAAGATAATTATTTCTTTAAGCTTGCACTCATTAATTTAACAACCTCTCTAGTGACATGATAAAGGCAACTGTCTTCCCCTAACGGTCACTGTGCAACAGGTCTCAATACCAACGTAAATTTGTAAGTACCGCTGCTACTATGTCTTCTCACAAAGCAGCAATGATTAAATGTTTTCAAGTTTAGTTGATACAATATTCATTTATCTGATAAAAATCATGCTCATCAAAGGTTTTCAGTTAAGGATATGACCAGCATTCATACCATATGAGCATGAGTCAAAGAACTTCAAACACATGCATATTAATCAGGGAAAACAATTTGATTTCAGCATCTCATGTTTAAATGATTTTTTTGTTTTTGAATCAAACTGTAGTGAAAATCCTTAACTGGTTCAGATAAGATACATATTTTAAAGACAATGAAACTGGAGAGACTGCTAATAAAATGACTTACAACTATAGTAATATTAAAATAACTTAAAGAATGCCTTAGATTCACAAAGGCTTTTCTTGCTGTCTGGTTACAAACCCCCCAAATAGTGTTGCAAACAGTACGAAAGCAAACAGAGAAGGGCTAACATTAAACCCCTGGTGTCCACGCTTACAGCATGGCTGCCCACTGCTGCCAATGGAATGCACCCTCAGATAGTCCGATACCCGTTATCCAGGGGTTAAAAAGCAAGGCATCGTTCTGCTTCTCTGGAACAGATTCAAAAGTCAGTCATAAAAGATGTCTCTGCACGTTGTCCTATTTTTTATTTATGTTAAAAAATGAAATGAAAATTTGTGGAGGTGTTCAGTGCTTGGCTCTTACATATACTGGTAATTATTATTATTAAAACTATGGTAATGTTTAATAACTCCCCAAAGGGCTCAAAAGACTGGGGCAGTAATTGGTTGAGGAAAAGAAAGGTTTTCAGTTCACTCTTCTGGTACCAGTAACTTCTGGAACAGTCTAGAAGATGATGCTCCAAAGTAGTACATCCAGTCAACTGGAGGTTGTTTGAGGATTTCAGTAAGTCCATATGTGATACACTGCCTGAGACAGAGGTCAGGATTCAGCTGATGCATCAATTACTGGTTGTTTTGTTGATGTTGCTAGAACAGCCTCTGCTTCTTCGTGCATCTAAAAGAAAAATATGGATGTCAGGGCTGCCTTTAGATATTTCTCTAGAAAGACATAAAATGGCTTCCTGTACGACATGCCAGGATGACATTTATTTAGAACATGAACCCTGCACCCAGTGGGCACAATTTGGTGCATTCAACTTACTTGTAAAAACTGTACATCTTGAAATAGCTCCTGAATGAACCTTCGAGATGGCAGTCGAAATGTACAGTGTGCTAACAAGTAGGACACCTCAGAGTAAAGGCATATGTCATCAAATGCTTGGGGATACTTCTCCTTAATTCTGATCAACAGGAAACAAAAAGGTTTTAAAATCCTACACAGACTTCTGACAGATATATTTCTTTAATTTTCAATTCAATTTTCATACATTATTTTGTACTAAATTACAGGAAACCTGTATTAACAAGACAAAACAGACAACCCACTTTGAAAGTTGCATATAGTATCTGACAATACCTGCTCTTAAAATAAGTGCAAGAAGCAGACAGAGTATCAAAAAAGTGGCAGCCAAGCATAGCATCAATATGTAAGTAATTATGGCAAAGAGAACTTCATATTTGTCAGCATTTTTAAACCAAGAATTTCTACATTTTAACAGTCATTTATCAGTTTCCAATAAGACCAGTCCAGAAGAACTTTTATCATCATGTTTAATCCCTTGATTTATATTTCTATATCTGTAACATAAGTTATTCTATAAATTAATTCCAGTAGTTGTACTCCTGTTTAAAGCAGAGTGGTGCTCCTTAAGAAGCTACTTTCAGATTATTTTGGTTATTTGATATACTTTATCTGGCACAAACAGAAGAACTAATCAATTATTGCTTCTTTTTTAAAGATACATCACATATGAGAGAGTCCTAAATGATATGGGTATACATGCAAAGCTATATTCACTGAGATATCCAAAGAAGCATCAGCACAGTTAATTATGTTTTCAAAAAGAAAGGGAAAGAATAAGACAAAGCAGGAATATTAAAAGGAAAATTCTTAAAATACTCTTTATGACAAGAAACTGCCTCTACTTGTTAATACAAATATAGAACAGATGCCCCCAAGTGTATTACCACACTTACATCTGCTGCAAAATTTAGTGCCACGCTAAAGTTAAAAGTTGGCTTGTACATTGTGTTCAACTACTCTAGTAACATACTATAAAATCTGCTTGACAATTTTTAGAGTTGTTGAAAATAAGGAAAACCTCTGTAAGATCATAAGGGAATGCAAACAACTGAATGGTGCTAAAACTGTAATTAAAAAAAAAATAATCTAACTTACGTCAGGAGTCCAGTTTCATGGCCCTTTGTTCCTACAGAACTGCTCAAGTTGATCACTAAACGTAAGACTTCTTTCCGCAGCAGTATCCTACACACTGGCGTATCATCTGGAATTGATTTTACTCCTTGAAAAATAAATTGAACAGTATGAGATTTAACCTGAATAGTCTTTGCGCTACACTTACGTCAGATGAATGAGATTGAGTTTTATATAAATGCATATATACGCACATGTGTGTGCATATATGTATGCACGATATATGCTTTCTTAAAATACCAGCAAATATTCCCATCAAAACTTAAAAAAATAGATTATTTTTGTGAATTTTAATATGGCCATGTTTAAAAAAGTTATTGGTTATTTGGAAAGTTATATTAGTGGTACTGGAAAATATTTGGAAAAACTGAAGTCACTGTAAGGTTCCATAACAGTGCTACATGATACTACGAAATTATTATTATTTTTTTGTATAAGATGCTGCTAAAATCAACAACAAGTCACTTCATGAGAAATTATGATAGGTTCAACAGGCTTTGAACATAGGTTCAAACAGAATAAATTGTTTTCTGTTTACAGAATGCAAATTTCTATTTATACTTCAAAGACCTTTCATAAAAGACAAATTCAGCAACTTATTTATTTTTTTAACCTACAAACTAGGAATAAAAGACTATTTTATTGTAATATATGATACAGGGTTCCCTAGGTTACCTGCAAAAATGCCATAAAGCCTAGGGATTAGAGTATGAAAGTACATTCTCCCATCTGCACTTAAACATAGGAAATATTGCTGCCTTCACTGATAACGATTAGGGCACCAATGGGTTTTATCAGCTTGCAAGTAATGCACATTAGTTTATTGCAGTAAGCATAAATTTAATAGTTTTTCCACAATACCTAAGAAAATACTTTAAGATATGCATAATTATGAATATGATATTCATTTTCATAAAGCAAACTTACCTAGTACAAGCTCTGTACTCTTGGTGCTGCTAGCTGAACCATGGGATACTGCATCGCTACAGCCTGAAATTCCAGAAAATTTGGAGGAATGCACATCCAAGTGATTGTGTATGGCCTGCCCACACCAGTCAGTCTATGGACTGTCTGAACAATCTGCGAGACTGAAAAATCTGACAGAAACAAAATGTTGCATCTTTGCTACTCATGCTTTTCCTCATTTCAAATGCCTATCCTATTTCTTATCATAGTTAAGTCTGCAAGACACTGATATACTAAGCATGGTAACTGCTGGCACACTGGTTTTTATGCAATCCAGAAGGGAAAAAGAGAAAGGAGTCTCATGTTTCCTATCAGAAAATTAAAAAAAAAAAAAAAAAAAAAACACCCTTCCCATAGAAAAGCAGATGCAGCTCCCATTTGGGTCATGAGCTGCTTCAAACAAAAGGTAGAGAAAGAGCCTAAACGCATAAGAATTATGAAGGGTGCCAGGCTGCCAGAAAACTGAGCCCTGCCCTCATTTAACAGATGCGAGTGTGACAGTGTGTTACTAACTGAATGCATATCCCTGTAGTAAAATAGTGAGGATTCCTACTAGGCAGAAATCAGGATTTCCATTATTTTTATTATGATCATTGTAAAAAGGATGCAACTGCAATCTCTGCAAAGCAAGCTCCAAGGAAAATGACCAAACCATCTTTGTATCATTCTATTTGAATATCTGAATCTGAAGAAATAAAGAAGACCAAATCCAGGAATTACTGCACAACTTCAACAGACTTCTCAATGAACTTTATTTTCTTCTTGTTTTAAGGTCTTGAAGTGACTTTTCCTTGGGCGGAAAGACATCCTCAATTTTCAGGGCATTGATTTATAAGGATTAATTAAGGTTTAAATTTTCACATTTTATACTTTTAAAAATATTGAGAATATTAGTGAAAATAGAATATTAGTGAAAGTTAATTTCAAGGCAGTATAGTCAATAAGAAGAAACTACAGATTAATCATCTTTAAAGATGAACATAATTCAAAATTTTTCTTCACTTGTGTCACACTTCCCCACAAGAGAACACTAACCTGCACAACTATATGAAGAGTTCACTTTGTTGTTAGGCTGATAACCCAAAATTTGAATGCAGACACAATAAAGGCAGTTCTCATCTGTGTGCTCCTGCAGTCCAGTATCCTCTGTATTTTCTAGAAACTGAGAGGCATCTGAACGGCTTGTATTCATTATTTCTGTGAGACTGATCTGCTGTCGAAGCATCTGGAAAGGACTTTTGACAACATCACTTGTACCTGATTGTAGACCTGCAGATAAGCGATTAAATATCAGAAAAAAACAAAACCTCACAACCAATGGTTACTATAACATTATTTGAATTAAAATTTCTCTTTTAAAGGCAAAGCCCAAATATCTAGATAACTTTTTTTGGAATGGTTAAGCTCCATTTTGTCAGCATTACCAAAGTCAACACAGCATTTTAGTCCTAGCTTATACTAAATGACAAACTATTGAAATGTATACAATTAAACCTATAAATACACATACTGTAATATGTGGTAAAATCTGACGTTATTTCAACATTAGTAATAATCACGTAATATTAACGTTATGAATTTTCACAGTATCAAACAAGATTAGCAAAAACAATATTCCAGATGTATATAAATGAGATGTGCACAAATGAAAACAAAAACACAATATAAAAACAACAACATGGTCTTGGCACTTCACTGACATGCTCTTTCCTAAGTGGAAAATATCAACAAACACAATTCTGAACAAAAGTTACCCTACACCAAAAATTACACACTATAGAAACACACCGTCAGGAAATTCATCTTTATATATTACATTAACAAATAGCAACAAATCACTAGGATGTGTCTATTTGGATGTTCCATATGCTTGTGATAATATTCCAGATGACTGACAAGCATGACAACAACTATCCTGTACTACCCTAGAATCAGAATCAAGGCTTCCTTTTTAGCTGTCCTACTACAAATATACATATTGATGCCCTACACACTTCTGACTACTCTGGAATAAAAAGGAAGTGAACTCCAGAACAAGCCAGGCATTACGCAACACTTGCAATTCTCTTGTACCATGTTCCATTACTTCCGCTGATCTCAGCTGGCACAGAAACATCACAGAAAGACAAAATTTATTTTCTGAAATACACACCTAACAATTTTATTGGTACCTCTAAACCCATATGTAATCAAAGGGGAGTCAAAATGTAACAGCTGAGTATGTATGCAGCATTATACTTTTAATCTTGTTTTACAATATGCTACTTTAATCCACTCACTTCCAGTGTTTGCTTAGCAACAGCTTATATTATAATAAAAGATATGCAGACTTTCCTCCTTAGTTTATTAGAGGTGAATTGTGTTTACGTTGCTTTCAAGCAACATCCCATTGTCTTGAACTACACTGAACAAGGAGTTAATGGTCTGAAAGCCAGAACACATCTCTCAAAACACAACAGCAAAAAATATCATTTTTAAAAAAATAAAAAAAACCTATATACTCCCCCCAACTCCCTAAATAACAAACATTTAAGTAAATAATGGAAAGGTACAGAAGAGGAAAAAAATACCTCCTGCATCGGGTGCAAAGACTCGAGCTCCACGGTCATCAAATGGAGGTGTGGTTTTCTTCTGGAAATACGGAGTTTCCTTTACCTGGAATGTTCAAATAAAAATTAAAATAAGCACAGATGATAATTGCATACAAAGGAAAATAACTTTAATCAGGACAACTGCAGGAAGAGGGATGTAATTAGAAGTGGAAGTCAAGGATGGATGGATTCCTGAATGCTTAAAAAAAAAAAAAAAAAAAAAAAAAAGAGAGAGAGAGAGAGAGAGAGAAAGAGCCAACAAGAACAAAGCACATTTGTAAATGAGCACTTTTGAAGCAAGACTTATAAATTCTCAGCAAATGGCAGTGGTGACAGGCTGTAAGGAAATCGGTGATCCAAAAATTCCTCTTCATGATCTGTCCCTGATCACTCCAAAACACTGGAGATGTCTCAGGACAGCAGAGCAAAAATAATGAGTCATCCCAGAGAAAAAAAAAAAAAAAGAGTTGAGGAAGAAAACTGAGGCAGCAAAAAACAGGCCACAAAGACTGTGGAAGAGCAGCAAAAAAGATATAGAGTAGTAACTGCATATAGTATAGGAGGAAATTGTCATTATTAAAAGAAAGATCTTGCCTTTGCTCTAGTTTGAGCAATTTTTGAGGTAAGAAAGGAATTTAGGTTTGAAAAACACACTGATTTACTTTTGATATAGATAATGTCCTGCTTGTGATGGTTAATCCTTGTGATGTGTCAGTGTCTACTTACTAAGTAGAGAGAGGAAGAGAATCGATAAGACACTGAGATAACCTATTTTAACTTATATGCTCTGATTTAATATCTCTGATATTAAATAATGTAATGCAGAGTATGGTAAAATATATGTGAATAGTGTGGTATTATATCAAGAGAACATGGTAACAGGAAGACTTTACTGTGAGATTATATGTATTGTATGGTTGACTAGTGAACATATGTACTAGTCGGCTAAACAGATATTTAGAAATGTCCACAAACTATGCCAATTTTAGCATAAGAACTGTCAACTAAAACTCCTATGACAGCATATTTATTTTACCAACATTTAACACTTCTCTAACCTGTTCTATTCCATTATTTGCCTAACAACACATACAGAGATGCCAACATAAAACAAAGTAGAGCTTTTCTGTAAACAGAGCTAGAGATGTTGTTCCTCATGTTCTCCCAAATGCATTTAAAGTACCGCAACATATTTTTCTTCTTTCTACAATCTTATCTATTTGGACAAAAATGCCAGTTTGTCACTACTCAGAATGAAGATGCAAATGCATTAAATTATTATATAAATACCTGAAATATTTCATTGATATCCACAGGGAGCGCAAGGCCAATGTAATCATCAGAGCTACCATATGTAGCATTAGAAACCATGGAGCGAACGGAAGAGGAACGCTGAAGTGTGTTTTGGTTAATAGGACTTAATAAGTCTTCTTTATCTAATGAAGCATAACTTAAAGCTTTCATGAACCTGCAACATTAAGAGAGGAAATCACAATCTTTGTCAATTATACATTTTGGCACATTACAAATAAGGAGGACTGCTGACAAAGACTATGTTCATCTTCCCATTGTAAAATCCAGACTCTTTACTCTGTCAAAACTTGTTATTCTGTTAAATTATAGCTATGTAGGCTCATTTCTTTCATTCTGTGCATTGTACTGCCTCATGCTGTATTGCATGGTTTGGCAGTTCCTCAGTGAAAAATTTCTTATGATCTTTTCTTTGAAAGTCCTGGGACGGGACTTTGATGAATAGTAGGATGGAACTTTTGCTTAAGGGGTAGCCTCCCCTGTAAAGAAAAAGAAAAAAATTTCACCAACTTACCAGTCTTTGGAAATTTACAAGCCATGCACACCCTCACACAATCAGGAAAGATTTATGAGGAGAAAGAACAATGGGCTCAGTATGATCCAATGCAAATCAAGCTGAAGCCACTTTATTGAAGCAAAGGTGTCCCTTAAGTACAATTTTTCCTTTCCCTGCATGCGTCCCCGTATCGCCCGATTGGTTAGAGCCCTTGTCCACGCGTTTTCATCTTTTTTCGGGTTGGCTGTTGTCAGGCTGCGCCAATCTTTCCTCCATTTCTATTCTTGCCTCTTACTTCCTCTTTGAGCGGTGGAGCAACCGATTTTCTTCCTCATTTCACGGGCTCGAGATGACCTTTTGGCCTGCACTATGTACTTGTTGCCCAGGCATCTCGTACGGCTCATATATCTGGGTCAGCAGAGAGCCCGACGGTGCCTTATTTTGAATTTTTTTTTTCAGAATTATTCAGAATTTTGTGATTGCAAAGTTTGGGTTTGCTGAGTATCAGAGATGGGAACAAGGAGCTTTTTATTCTGCACTCTAAAGCAGCCATGCAGGAACTTGAACCTGCCCAGGGAGCAGAGCTGACTGGGACAAGCAGCCCGGAGGACAAGAGAGAAATTGACTGGGGAAAATGAGACTGGCAAGAGAGGGAGCTACAGAACTTCAACACTGAAGTCCTCAGTGTTGACCACAGCCTTAATGACAGGGATGGGACCAACAGGGGTACACGTGTGGCGGGGAGGAAGTGATGATAAAATCCAGGTAAGCTGAAAGTTAATGAATTAAAATTGAAACCAAGTTTGAGGGAAATGGGAAACTTCCTTGGCCATCTCTCATTTTCATTCCCAAAAATGAGAACCTGTGCATGCTTTCTGTTAGGCTGCATGAATGGATGAGCTGTGTGGGGGATTAAAGATTCGTACTCTGAGATGACCATGTAAAATGTCAACATAACACAGGACAGATTTTTCCTTCCTTTTCATCATCATTCTTCTTCAGGTTTGTTGAAAAATAATAATAAAAAAATCACATATCTAGAAAAGCACACTATGGGTTATGTTGAAAGAACATTAACATTGAAAAGGTAAAACAAAAAGTGCTAAAATACTAACTACATATCCTTAGCATAGTACTATCAAGCATTTAAGTGCAAAGCCATACACTGCTTTACACCTGGGTTACGACCTCACTGCACACATAGTACAGGACTGCCCTGCACTGAAAGGGACTGCAAGACATGGACAAGCAATTGTCCACAGGAACGTTGCTTTGCTTACGGTGCAAGTGGAAAGCACATAACAAAATGAAACAGAGACATATAAAATTATAAAATACTGGAGAATTAAAAATAAAGCTTACCCTGTGTAGACACACTAGTATTGACTGTAGTATTTATATACTACAAAAGGAGACACGTTAGATGAGTTGTATTTAGTCTGCACTTTATGTATTTATTTATTTTTAGAGA